GGATTTAATCTCGGTGGTGCCACCCATTGGTTTCTGAGGCCGAATGATCGCCGGAAATGTTGTCTCAAACTGGGCCGACCTAGAAACAGGTAAAGACGTTGAGCTGAAGCCTTCACTTCCAGGCAAACAGCTACAATGCCCCCGCAGTCAGATCAGCTACGCCACATATGCATACACGTAGACTAGATATGAAAAGAAGCTAAAGTGGTGTTAGATAACTCCTGACTACTTTCTGGATTATCCTGAGGTGGTTCATGTTTTGCTCTCCACAAGGGTTTTTCCTGCTATGCATTCTACGAACAAAAACCAGAGCCCTTTGAATACCAAAACCAGATCCTGCATCTACAGATTCAGCATTTATATGCAGAATCTGAAAATAAAGATTAGATTTGATCTAATGAATTTGGCCTTCAAATTTCCCGACACATGCAAAATGTCATGGCGTCCTTTTGTTTTAAACTTTCCCTTCACTGCTTATTCTTCATAAATTATCTTTGCTAAGCTAAGCTGATAAGTTGTTGCCTTTCGGTTGTGTCTATGTTCTCATCTTGCTCAAAGAAGGTCAGCAAGTGTCCCAAAACGTTGGACTTCTCTTTTTAAACCCAGCTTTAGCATCAGCAGTGTAACGTCATGGACTACAATTCAGGTTTAAATAGACTCAGATGCAAAGAAATATGGCAAATCAGATGAATGAATGAACTTCCCTGCATGACCATTCATAATCCAGCATGAAAAGAGAGTATATTTGAAGCAGATGAGGGTAGTGAAAACAAATTGCTCCAAAAGTGCATAGTCAAGATATTTGAGAAAGGAGAACATGTGTCTGCAGTCCGTTTGGTGTGACAACACAGCACTTAGAAACAAGAAAAGCAGCAGAAAAGAGCCTTTGGTGCCCTCAGCCGTTTCCATGATTATAGTTCCGAGCTCCTCTAAGTGAACTGCGGTGCAGCCTGCAAGGTCTGACACAGTAATCCCAACCTAACAACAACAACAACAACAACCTTGAAATGCGGCATTTTTACGGCTCATCATGCTCCACTCTGGCATTTCAAACTCCCTCTAATGTTTGCTTTCCCACAACTCTGTCCAATTAATGAGCAACTAGAGATTCCCTGTGACTTAAATCAGCTCCAGGGCTCTTTTTGCACATTATTCAAACTCAATATATTTGCACCCCGTTTAGAATATCAGGCGCAAATAATCCATCCAAAGGAGGGTAATGTTGGTGTGAGGTGTAAAGAGGACTTTTTTCACTCTTACTAAATACATCAATGCTTTGACAGGAAACCAAGCTGCTCAGTAGACAAGCTGTCTGTCTCCGTTTAGTTAATTGGTTGTTTGGGAGGAATTTTAACTGAATTCCACAAGGAATTCTTCTAAATTGAATTGTGGCTGCGCTGCAGAGGGCGGAGTGTCAGCGGGGAGGGAGGGAGGGACGGGGAGAGAAGGAAAACGGTTTGGCTCTGGAGCCTCACAACAAGCTCCAACAGGAAGTCATTCAACGTGTAACACACACAACCCAGAACAAAACAACCGCACGCTCACATACGAGCGCACGCCGAAACAGAGAAGGGAGACGGTCAATTTGGAGCACACACACCCACCGTCACCGCCACTGCCCCCTGCATGACTCAGTGTGGAAGTGGAAGTGTGTCATTCGATGGGCCAACAGTGGATGACAGAGGCGGCTCGGTGACGGATTAGAACAGGGTTCAAAAGAGAGTTAGAGAAAACTGGATGGGAGGGAAAAAAGGCAGATGAAGAATTCCACCATGAGGAGGAAGGATGCAGAGACGAGGAAGGGGGTGAAACGAGAGGGACGGGGTCAAAAGTGTTGTTTTCAAGTGAACTGCACAGCACTGCCCTTAGGCCCTTTCTGTGTGTGTGTGTGTGTGTGTATGTGTGTGTGTGTTTGTGTGTGTCCTTATTCTTTTAAATGTCCTCAAAGTAATACACCCAGTTTTAGGGTGATTGGTCAAATCCCCTATAAGAACAAGGACAGACTCTCATGTCCAGGGTAATAATTAACCCTCATATGTTCTTACCAACTCACCCACTTTGGGTTGTTCAATTATTCCTTTAGCACAATGTGGGTACATTCATGTGTTTTTACAAAACAGTGCCAGATTGAGTCATGCTAAATTCCAAATGGATGACCATCAGCGTCACCAGAGTCTGAACTGAACTTGTAATGACGACGTACGATGCAACATGACTTTGGAACCATTTACACGATTTGGAAAACGGTGCCGTCTTGCCAGCCATTCAAATGCCATATTCAGAAAAAAGGCATGATGATTTTAACTGTGTTGAAAAGTCATTTAGCTGGACCCCTTGCTACTGCTATGTGGGGAAGTTCTTTACAGCCCTACCTTACACTTCATTCATATTGTGGATTTGGTAAGAAATAAGTTGGACTGCATTATGAAGAAAGAAAATGTGTTGTATCTCCAATGACTTTCTGATACTTAGAAAAAGGAGAGGCGCAGATTTTTTTTGGGACATAGCTCAAACGGGATTATTGGTGAAGCCACTCACACTAAGGAGGAACTGTCTAGATGGTTTCACATATGCACTCCTGAACATTTCTAGAGAACATCCGGACGACTGCAGCTGAAATCCTCCCGACCTGGTTGTTCACACATGCGCCTCACAGTGGGAGACCATCCCTGTCGGGTTAGGAGCGGGGCGTGGATCTCCTGAGGCAAGACAAGGCCTAAAAAGAATGACTGTTGCACGGCATAAACGTCACCACCCTTGCTAAATGGATTATCCTGATTTTAACCTGCTTGCGTTCTCACATCAGCTCACTAGGACTTCATGCGGAAAAAATACGAAGGAGGCTGGCAGGAGAAACTCCGGGTGAAGTCAGAGTGAATAATTTAGCTGATAGCGTTGACACATGCGAACACCCCAAAAAACTTCAGGTGTTTTTCATGAGTTTTGTGCATGTGTGAAAAAGGCTTATGTTGGTTAAATAACCCATCAGTCCCGTTTGGAGTACTAGATCACAATATGATACACTTTACTGTCCCCATAGGGAAATGTGTCTTACATGCCAGTGCTGCATACATTTAGCTGCCTCTACAGATAACTCAATTAAATTGCAGAAAAAAAGGTTTTAAAAGAAGCAATGCAAATACTATAACAGAGATCAAGGCGTCATCTGCAAAGAAGAGAAGCTTATCCTTGAATTTTTAAAGCTGCAGCCAGAGAATTTTAATACCGTAAATGATTTATGGACCGTACTGAAAACAATTAATTGTTCTGCAGAAATAAAAACTTCTGCACTAGCTTTACATGCAGAGAAGAAACCAGAATCCAGATGTTTCGTTCCTGGATTCTGGCACATATAGTCAGACTCCATGTGAGGATATGGAACCCATCCAGTGAATCCTGCACTACAGCTCTTATTGCGTGAGCTGTGGATTCTGGATACTCATTTTTCAGATACTTCATAATCTTAAGAAGCCACTATCATGAAGTCACTTCCAAAAACTGTTTGTAAAGTCAAAGTTTACTGTCGCAAGAATGGATTCTTTGACGACTGCTCTAAGAAAAGTGGAGGATCACCCAAACACAACACTGTCTATCTTTCCTACATCCCTCCTCTGCCTGAACTGTGCTGCTACTCTCTCGCATTCTTTATCTCCCATCGTTCATTTGTTGATTCTTAGAGGGGAAATAGCAAATAGAGGGGAAGAGCGGATGAAAGATAGGATAAAGCATACACATGTTTTCGAGTGTTCACACACTGAATCACATCCATAAGCATTTCCCTGGGAATTCCCTTTGAGAGAGAGAGGGGGAGTGCAAGGCAGAGACAGTTAGTCTGTGTGAGAGAGAAAGGAAATCAAAGGGACATGGCATTCACTGTTTGCGTGACAAGAACAGACAAACATGTATTCAGTTCCTTAATGTGTGTGTAGATCTCCAATGCTAATGACTTGCATGAATCTGAAACAGCAGTGTTCTGCATTTCTCTTGCATATGGGTGACTGACTGTGTGTGCATGTTGGAACAAGTGTCATCACCACACCTGACCGCTGCCTATGTGATAACAGCCATAGAGGAACTATGAACCTTTGCTTGCAAGATTTCTATGATTCATGGACGCACTGAGGCACACAAACACACTCGCATGCTATTAAATTGTAAGACGTAAATCCAAAGCAGGGGTTCCAAATGAAAGACGCAGACCTAAAGATCAGTCAGCTCCTGAGTTAATCATTCATAGCCTCTCAGACACATGGACACACACACACACACTCACACATTATTATTAAGGTCAATGACACAAGGGCAGGCACATTGCCAGGGGTTGCCAAACATGCATCTGCAGAAATACACGGTAGAAAAAGTAGTGCGGGAGATGTAATTCAAACTTTTATGCTGACATGATTTGAAGAGAAAAAAACAAAACAAAACTACAAATGTCAGAAAATGGTTTGCAGCTCAAGTTGCCTTTAATCCAAATTAAATGGCTGTTTTTTCTACCCACTCAGATAGGTGCTTTGTCATCTAATACTCTTAGAAAAGGGGAGAAAGTACAGGAGAGAAAGAAAAAAAGGTGGAGGAAGAAAGGTGTAAACTGAACCTGAGCCTGTGGAAAACCGGCTTGACAAGAATTCAACACAACACAACACATCTCACTATAGGAGGACTTTTCAACTGAAGTATCTGATTAACACTCACTCACAGACATAGTGGGCTTCTGTGTATGGCGCAGAGTTTGGGGGCTACACACCTGCACCTACACCTACACACTATTATGCGTCTTTATGTCACACACAAAACACACACACACACACCAGTCTTGTGTGACATACAACAGTGGGCCTACTGTCTGTCAAAAGCAGGCTTTCAGCTCTGGTGCTGTCTTGTCTAAAAAAAAAAAGTTGATCACATCAGGAAAACTTCCAGATCAAGACACAACAATGTGATAAACAGCGACACGTGTTTTAAATCCTGTCAGTACACTTCAAACATGTCTCTCTCACCTCGTCCCATTTGATGAATTTGCCCCCCTTCTTTAGAGCTTCATGGACGGACACGGGTTTGAGCTGCAGCGCGTGGACTCCCGGCTTCGCCCCGGCCATGGCGAGGGACTCCCTGCCCGGGTGCCAACGCCTAAACCCCGGCTACGGCGAGCTGGGCTCCTCGGAAGGAACCAAAAAAAAAAAAAAAAAAAAAAGAAAGCTCTTCCGTCCTTCCTCTACTTCCACCCCGGACCTTTTTTTTTTGCTTTTCCGGGGAGAGGGTTAATTGAAAGACAAGAAGGGGGAGGGAAACTTTTCAAGACAGCGACCTTAAAAGTTAGTGAACCTCAGCAGAAGTTTGGAGAACATGAGGAGTAAAATCCACAGAGAGAGAGACAGAAGTTTGCTGTTTCAGCGCGCAACGCCGCTGTCTTGTCCGCGTCCACGCAGCAACGCGGTGACGCGCCTCGAACTCCCCTTTTCACTCTAGCCTTTTGATTCATATATTCACATGTTCATTGTTTATTTGTGCAGGATCCTTTAATCGCGCACTTGAGCCCGCGGAGAGATCCTTTCCTTCCTTCCTCCCATCTGCTCGACCCCTCTCTCCTCTCCTCTCCTCGCGCCCTCTCGCTCCTATCAACTTTCTCTGCTTCCTCTCTCTCCTGTCGCCTCCAACGCGTTTCGTCTTCTCTCCTCCTCCGCTCCTCCCTGCATGTTTTCTGTGGAAAAAAAGAGAAGACTCCAGAGGAGGGAGTGAGGGAGAAGGACAGCGTCAGATAGCGCTGAGTGAATGAGACATAAAGGGGGGGAAGTCAGAGTTAGTGTAAAAGGGGTGTGTTTTAATCCAGTTCCTCTGTCTCCACCTTTGTATGCATGACTGCTAAAATGTACAGTATTCAGACTTTAATGAGCAATTGACGGTTCAGCTATTTTCTGCATAAACTGTCTTTTTCCTTACATTGCTGAAGGTTCAAATCCTTTTTGCGCCACCTTCATCTCTCAAAAGTGCTGCAAGTGAAAAGGAAAAGGAAAGCTGCAAAAAGAAATAACATTAAATGTGCTGCAAATAGATTTAATCATACATGATCATCAAGTCATTTAATCTGGAGAAAAAAAACATCTGCTTGTAGACAAATGCTGCAAATCCAAATCAGTGGAAGTTTCCAGGACTGTTGGGGCCCTGAGTGGATCAGTTTATTATTGACAGGAGAAGAAATTACATTTTTTGACAACAGTTGCGTACGTGGGCGGTTCTCGGCAGGGGCCAACAGGGGCCAGTGCCCCTGTATCACTGAGCTTGGTCCCCCCCTGCGGCCACCCCTCCAAAATGAGTGAACATACACAGTATTTGACTCAACAACCGGACTCACTATCTGTTACTGAAAGAAATATAAATCATGGTATTTTGTGTTGTGGTGTTTAATGATGTGTAAAAGTGGTCTAGTTGCATACCGGAGATGACAGTTGCCACTGGTTGCATACCGGAGATGACAGCTGAGCGGGGGGGGGGGGGGGTCTGACAGGATAACTTGGGATGCGTGGAGCCTGACACTAACTGTGGAACTTGCTGAGCTGTTGCTAACCCACCCCTCTTTACTCGTCACCTGTCATTTGGGATTTGGTCAGTCCTGGTGTGAGGGCTTATAAGGAACACTGGGGGAGACGTTTCAGCCCGTTCAAGGTCGGTTGCCCTTTTCGGCCACCGTACCATATGTGCTCAAACTGCCTGCTGGAACTTAAAAGAGCACTTAAGTGACTTGTTGTAAATGGATACTTGTCAAAGGCTAATTAGAAAAAGAATTGTACAAATGAAAGCCGCAGAGAATGAGATATATTTGAGTTATAAAGGGAAAAAAGATTGCAGCAGCTTCCTTATATATACATATATATATATATATATATATATATATATATTTCACAGTCTAAACGTGTTACTCTTTATGAATGTGTTGGGTTGTCTTTTTCAATCAGCTATGAATAAACAGAAAGATGTGAAACAGACACAAACAAGCAAGTCATGTTGTGTAAACCAGTGCAACATGAAATATGAAAACACGTGTATTGAAAGAGAATACACCACAGCCATTGGTGTGTGGATGGGTCGGATAAGATCCTGATGGGCGGGTTGGCATGTTGCATGGCAGCCTTCTTTCATTCCTGAAATGACAGCCGTGTACGAAAGGGTGAAGGAAGCTGTACTGATAAGTGCTTTGAGTGGTCGGAATCTGCAGCGTTAAGTGCAGTTGGTTAATCATTTATTCTGTATCGGCATGTTACCGGGAAATACGCTTTCATTTGTATATTTTCTTAAATTTCTGTTGTGTGTCTGAAAGCAAAATATACTTTCAGCTCTCCTCTAAAAAAAAAACAAAGATGTGATGTACTTTTACTTTTTGTTTTGTTTTCCCAAAAACAAAGTCTGTGATGATGAGCAAACCAAAAGATGCTGATTTGTTTCCATGGAATAATAGAGCATTTGACTTCAGCATAGGGAAATCATAACAACGAATTACTAGCAGCTACTTAGTTTAGCTTAGCTTAGCTTAGCTTAGCATAAAGACTGGAGGCAGGGGGAGACAGCTAACCTTGTTTAAACTACTGGTTACTTGAATAATAGCGCTCGGCATCAAGTCCTCGCAACAGCTTTGCATGAAAAGTCCAAATCTAAATATTCAACATGCAGGAAAGTAGAAGTAAAATGTAGAAAAAAATGAAATGACTTCTGTTGAGTTCCTCAAATATTGTACAGTAGAGTGCTTGTGTGAATGTCCTTAAACTCCAGCACAGCTTATTGACTGCCTTGCTGAGAGCTGGCTCCTATTTACTGTTGTTCTCTGCAGGGAGCGCGCGTTTAATTAAAGGGCTGATTTAATCCTTCAAATTACCTTTGCCTTTAATTGCTTTGAATTATTTTCCTCATTGTTGACAGTGACAGATGACAGCCTGATGTTATTAAAAACATGGCGGCCGTTGGAAATACAGAGTGATAAGCTTAGAGGTGTTTTTAAAGCAAACGGGGAGAGGTGGACATGCAGTCTGAGAATGTGTATGTTGGATATTATATTAACTATTTATAGAATAAACATGTAATAATGTTAAAGGGATTTGGTGGTGAAGGTAACTGAAGCTCTTAAACAGTCATCAGGTAACTTTCCCCTTCCTCCACAGTATCAGTTGCAGGGTGTCATGTTTAAGAAGTGTGAGAGAAATGGAGTCAAATCCTGCTGCCAAGCAACATTACACCTTGGACTGCTCATAAAAAAAAAAAAAAAAAAAAGAAACGTTACAGAGCAACAGATTTTTTTGGCAACCCCGTCTTTCTCCTACTCCCTAACTACACCCGGCAGGAATGTCTGCTATGCTGCAGCCTGCTGACTGACCGACTGAGTGAATGCCTGCTGGTGTGTTATTCTTGACTAAAACCGAAGTCAGGAGGAGGGAAAACCCACAGGAATCAATCAGAAAGGATCCACAAGTCCACATTTGTGTTTAGAAACTTGAAGTGTGCCTGTTACATGACCCTGAGGTGTCCACATGCAGCAGGAGATACTTTGTTTAACAATTTAGCAGCTTGGCAGACTGGCATTGAGGCGCTGCGGGGTTGTGTGTCTGTGTGTATCTGACCTGGATTTGTGTGTTTTTATCCAGGCTGTAACCAAGTCCAGGTCGAACCGTTGATTCATTTGATCTTGAAGCATCTCACACAGACACACACACGCACACACAAACACACACACACAACCTCTCAAATGACAGCAAACAAACACAAGATGGACACATGCATATCCATTCTTTAAACAGCATGTTACCCGTGCATAAGCAAGGATATTGTGTTTCTCTGGTGCATAATAAAATGCTGATGCGTACACACTCATCTTCTCTTCTCACACGCACACACACACACACACACACACACACACACACAAATGAATAACCTTTTTAGCCAAACAAAGTGATGTTGAATGCCGCGTTTGAAGTGTGGGCACCTGTGGTGTCAATAGCTGGCCTCCTCCCTCCTCCCTCCTCCCTCCTCTCTCCTCTCTCTTTAACACAAATACAATCTCTCTCATTGTCTCTGTTGTAGATAAAAACACTCCCTCTCCTCCTCTGTGTTTTTTTCCACATCTCCTGTTCTCCCTTTCCAACAGGCGTCCACCTCCCATTGGTCAGTGAGACATAGATGGCACTCACCTGGATACGGAATGAGGTCTCAAAATATCGTGCGAATGTAGAAGAGGATGCTGTTTTTTTTTATCTTTTCTCAGAATCGATGACGTAGTTCTCTCATGCTCACAGGAAGTGTGTTACAGTTGTTGAAAAAGATCTACCTCTGATGACGGGAGGGGGGGGGGGTCCCTTAAATTTACTCACTTCAATCAAGTCATATGAACTGAAATACTTTCTTCTTTCTAGACTTAACAATTACAGCAACCAAGGGCTGGATTGCTGTGAGATTGGGCGCAGAATGGTCCCTAGGGGAGGCATCCTTCACTTTGGAGATAACCTGACTTTTCTCTAATCACCTCCATGATATGAACACTTTGTGCTTTAAAGCTCCTGTGAGGAACTTTCAGTTCATGCCGGACGCTGAGGGCCAAGCGGTACCTACCTCTCCTCTTTATGTAGATCATGTACGTGGGTGATTAGTGTTTTCTGATTGTAAAAAATAATAATACAAAATACAGACAGGAGAAACCTCCTTCAATGTCTTACATGCAGCTAATCATTGGTGTGGAAAAGAGCTAGACTGTTTGACAAAATGCTAATAATTGCATTGACTGACACCGAGGGGTTACAGAGATATACATCAGCACTTTACAGGCACATAGTTAAGCTACATAGAAAGAATCCTGTTTTTGCTGTTGATCTTGTTTGCTTTTGGAATGAATTTCAGTTTATTTCATTGCCGGCTAAATATTCCTCACCGTACAGCTTTAAGTGACATGTCTCGATAACTACTGATTATTTGCCATGAAATGTCATAAATTCCATTGAAGATATTGATATTCCCCTCGTGCAACTATGAGATAGACATTTCTTGGTTTAGGTAACATATCTTGGAAATAAAGTTAGAGACTCTGCAAGCATGACATTTGATACACCACTTCATGATCCTCTGATTATTTCAGTGCCTAACTTTTCTCTTTGACTTTTACATTTTATTTTTTTAATGATGGATATGCTCAAACTTTAAATTTGATGGCCCCCATCCTGTAGAACCGCTGTGAGATACATTTTTTTTTTTATGTAATGGGTTGTCATGAGGGTGAAATCGACATTCATGTGTGTTCATAGGAAAAAATAATGAAAGGAAACCAAAAAAAGGGTATAAAGATGAGTGTATCAGAGGAAGGAGGGGGCGGTTTGGAATGAGTGTAGGCTGTCTCAAAATCTCATATTGGACTTTTAATAACGAAGGTTATGAAAAGGGCCAAAAGAGAGACAACAGGGGTTCAAATGGAACAAAGTGACACACAGACACAGATGGAAAAGATGTTTTGGAGTCTCTCTCTCTCTCTCTCTCTCTCTCTCTCTCTCTCTCTCTCTCTCAGCCCAGCTCCCAGCCCAATCTTTCTCTCCAACTCAAAGCCAAGGACTCACAAAGACACATTGTATAAAGACACACTGGCATATTCAGGGTCCTTCCACACACTGCCCCTCTCTCTCTCTCTCTCTCTCTCTCTCTCTCACACACACACACACACACAC